GGTTTTAAAGTATTGTGGGGCTGATTTCTACTTTTTCCCTTACTTACTTTGGTATAAAAGGTGAAAATACAAGTTTTAATAATGGTTTCTGAGAAAACCCACACATCTATGATTTTTGGTTTTAATAGCCACCCTTAGGAGTGAACCCAGTTAATACCCTGTCCTGAGGGACAAACTAAGTTGAGCATCTCATGAAGAAGTATAAGGTCTAAAAGATATAAAAGATTCACAGTCTTTAATAAAGAGCTCACAGTGTAGATGAAATTATGTAACATACAAGGTGATCTTCAAGAATTATATATTCAATTTTGTCATGTCAAAATTCATTTTACCCATATTGGGAAAACTATAAATAAAAGTATCTTACAGTTTATCCTTTATGATTTCAAACAAAGCAAACACAACAGTATTATTTCACTTCTTTAAAATTTAGTATATTCACACTTTCACACATTGGCTTTACAAAAATCCCTGTTTATAAGAAAGAGAAAAAGTCCAAACAATATTGTACATAAGTGAGTACCAAGTGGAATGCAGTAGAGAGCAAAGTGAATACATAAGTACCAAGAAGCCAAGGAACAAAGCGTAACTCAAATCCAAGTGGGGTTAATTAGGGAAGGCTGCATCTCTGCCGGAGCTGCTCTCTCTGCAACACCGCACTATACATCAGCCTAGGATGGAGACTATGCAAATTCGATGTCCCATTTTTCCATAGAGGATACATCATTAGATAATATCATCCTACTCCAGAGGCATAGAAGCCAAAATGTAAACACTTGGAAAGTCAACTCTTGATCATCCACATTCACAGAAGAAAAGAGCAAAGGCATTGATGATCCAAGAGTAGATAAATGGAAAATCACCAAGTTGATTTTGGTATGCGCTTCTTTTCAAACACAGGTGTACCTAATATTCAGGGAGTGCACAAGTCTGCTATGAATATTAGTCATGAGGAGTTGGAAACCCCTTCAACATTTGAATACAGACACTGGAAACAGAGTTCAGTGAAAATCTCAAGACACATTCAGATAAAATTCTACTGATTCTACTAGACAACCCTATAATTGCAAATATAATTTCCAATTTGACATAAAAGCATTAACATGGACAAATAACTCAGCCTGCAACTGGGAATAGTGAAAAACAATTTTTAAAAATTCTACTAAACTCTCATAATTCCTTTTTAATTGCTGCAAGTTATCTCGATTCAGTTGTCTTAGTCCTTAACCATATTTTTTCATTGCCTCTCTGTTCCTTTCTGTCTTGTTCTTATCTTTAATATATTGAATGATGTCTTCATTTCTCTCCCCAAATCTGCTGCTTCAAGTTCACGAGCTGTCTTCTGAACCTAGCTTTGGATGTTCTCCTTGGGAGCACTTGCCCACGAATGTTTCAAGTAAAATCTCATCAAAACTCCCTCCATTCCTTCTGGGTCAACGAAGTCCATGCTGCCTAACTACGTAACTGAAATTTTGCCATGTGCAGTTGGATAGTATCATAAGCTTCCAGGACAGAATTAAAGACGTAACCCCTTGCTTGTGACGTCTCAACACACTAGATCCTTCCATAAACTATTTTCATAGAGCATATACTTCAGGGTCAAGCAAAACGGTATTTGTATCCCAGTCCCACCACTGAAAAAAGTTTTTGGAAAAGTTCCTAAACTCCTCTGAGTCTTTGGTTTTTCTACCTCAGGGTAGCTATGAAAATTTTAAAAAAGAGACAATGTAGGTAGAATGGCACAGTTATTCAGCAAGTATTAGCTATTATGCAAACACTGGGTTTATAAAAATTAACCAACTTTAATTTCTTGGCCTTTAGCATTATAGCTTAGATGGTGTCAAGAATGAACCAATACCTCATCCGTATCACCATCCTTCACAACGGAAGTATACCAGTGATGTTTTAATTTTCCAGGGGGCTTTTTCCCCTTACAAGTTGAGGGACTAATATGAAATTTTGGGCCAACATCCAGTCTGAGTGATTATATACTGACAATATGGAATAAAATCTCCACTTAATGTTAAAGACTGCTTATCTAGATATTGATATCTATGTAATAATCTGTACAGACTTTAAATGTTGACCATTGCTGCTAGGCACTGTTAAATAGATGAGAGGGGGAAAGGGTTAGTATGGCAGGAAGAGGGATGAACATGACTCAATGAACTTGAATTTCAATTGAGCAAGGTTTTTTAATAAAAAAAGAGCTTTTTATAAATTCTTTTGCTCAGCAACAATAAAAAGAGGAAAAGAGCACTCAGCTGGGAACAATAGCTACTCAGCTCATAAAAAATCATTAGAAAGAACATTTTCTTTGTCTACATGCCTAGCAATTTTGTTGGTGGGCAATGATCCAGATCACTTAGATTCCACCTATAAAAATGAGTCCAGAGAACCTTCTCAACTTTTGCAGCTAATAAATTATACTAACAAAAACTCTAATTTTCTAATGGGTATCACTCCACCATAAATAAAATTTTGGCTCATGATTCATGAAATGTTTTTTGACAAATAGACGATACTGATCTAGTGTTAATGGGATATGCTCTTTGGGTTGCTTTTCCATTAGAAGGGAGGGATGATGTGACACATTTTCTCACTCCTGTGTGCCCCAGAGATGACTACTGGGCAAGGTGCAGAGTGCTTGTGGATGGCATGGTTCCCATTTCCCCAAAATAATATCCCCTACTTGGATACTTAACTTCTTACTGCAGTCTCTGTAGCATATCCTAAGTCAGCTGAGTCAAAGAAACATTTTTTTTTTTAATATTTAAGGGCCTGATTCATCTTCTCTCACAAGTGTCATTAAACGATCTTAATTTAATTGTGGAACATGTTAAAGATAAGTCATTGAAAGCTCTTTTCTGTGTTCGAGTTTCCCTATGACAACCAAAAGCTTTCTGCACAAATAAAATATGTTCTCTCTCATGACCCTGCTGGATAATCACAAGTAACACAACTCTGAATAATTCTTGTTAATTAAAAAGCATGAGGCAAAAAAGTTACCTATGTTTAAGAAAAAAAATATATATATATAATTTGTTTAGTTTTAACACATTAAATAATTAACCCATATTGTATTTTTACTGCCTGATATAAGGTTCAGATATCCTAAATGACTAAAATGATTTTCAAATAAAGGAAATGCTTTATAGAGTAAATAAAACAATGTCTGCTACACTCAACACTTTTTTTTTTTCTCTTACTAAACTTCTTTTGACTTCATGGTCTAGATTGGCCCCACTGACTCTAATCTAAATGGCATTCTATTCTCTCCTATAACTGTCCATCTTATACTCTGTCAAGAAATTGTGTTTTTAAAAGGCCTTCCCTGTTCCCTCAGACTGCATCTAAGATGTAAAAATAAAGAAAAACTGCAGTATCAACAAAAAGTTTAATTAAGCAGAATATGCAATGACAGCAGATATATAAAAGCAATCTTTACTGAAGCTAGGTAACCATTCAAATAAGCTTTTTATAGATAATAAGGAGTTGAGGGTGGGTAGCTGGTCAAACTCCAATTTTATAACTACACTGCCATTTAGAGTTACTACTAAATTAATATCTGCCTAAAACAGTAGCTGTATTATCTGAAACTGCCTAGGCTTATACATCAAGGAGTTGTACATGACTAATTTATTTTTAAAGTAATGCCTTACTAATTTGATTAAGAGAAAAAATTATCAACCATGCCCTGGTTACATATTAAAGATGATCAGTGACTCTTTCACACTCTCTCTTTCCTCTTCCTTTGTCTGGGCAGGCTTTGTAACTTTCAGACCAACTGAATATGGCAGAAGTAATGCTCTGACTCAAGACAGTTTGGCAGCATCCATTTCCTCTCTTGGACAACCATCACTTGCAGCACAACTGCTATGGTGTGACAAGCTCTAGCAGCCCTGGGAGAAGCCTATGCAGAGGGGAACCATGGCTCTCAGCTAACAACCAGTTCCAATTTGCCATCACAGGAAGTGGCTCCTCCAGCCACAGTTGGTACTTCATGGACTAGAGATGAGCAGTCTCCTATATGACCCCACCAAATTGTAGATTCAAAAGCAAAATGAACGATTATCAGAAAACACCCTCAAACTTGTGTTCTAAAAGATAAAATTAATGGGAAAAAAGTGAAATGAAAGAAGTAATTTATTTTTTGGACATTTGCTACATGACTAAATGATTTACACATATTTATTCCCTACAACAAGCTTATTAGGATTATTTTCTCTATTTTATCCTGAGGGTTACAGACTTGCAAATTAAGTAACTGCCCAAGATCACTGGGAAGATAGTATTCAAAATGAGATTTGACTCTGAGGCACATGCATAGCAGAAAAATGGGAATGAAGGAGATTACAGGCTAATGCTGGAATGACTCAAATTCTCAATTAAATTACAGAGCTGGCCTTTCATAACTATTCTGTCCATCCCTTGCTTTTGAGAAGAAACTCTACATTATGATTGCACTAAATAATAAATCTATTTCTGCAAATAATTTCTGCTAATTCTGATCTCAGGAGAAACAATACTGACTTACTAATCATATGGAATGTGTTATTATCTTTTTAAACACCCAGCTCTGGGCCACTTGTTCCACAAAGGCCCTCCCCACCATGTACTGAGTTTAAAATATTCTTCTATTTTTTGAACTTCATTAACATATCATCTGCAACTCTCTACCAGTATTCTCTATAGAGAAGTTCCTCTGAGTCAGAATCCACAGCTGGTTCATACTTGTAACTCTCAGAGGACCCACTACAGTGCCTTACACAACAGAGATGGTCAATAAAAATTGTAGAATGAATAATTAAATAAATAAACAGTATGGAAAGACTATAATTAAATACAAACTCCTCTGTTTTCTCCCAGCCCTTTTCAGCTGTTCCTCAGAGGGCTCATTTTATGAATCTTTAATCATTTTAGTGGCTCTCCAAGTTCTCATGCTTCAGTTATAGGATCTCAGAGACAGCAGAGTTCTTTAAAAAGTCCCAACCCCTACTTAACAAATCACCATTTAGTAAATTCCATTATATGGGATCATTTCTTCATGAGGTGGCAGCCAATGTTGGTCTCAAAGCATTCAAGAACCTTACTTAGGCAGAGTCTCAAATTCCTCTGAAGAAACAAAGGACAGAGAGGTACAAATACAAGCATAAGAACACTTCTACTCAGTGCTCCCAAATTCCAACTGCACCAGAGATGATCGTGCTTTTGTACACTGTGTGTGTGTGTGTGTGTGAAGGAAGAGAAGGATGTTTAGGACTAATAAAACAAAAACCATTAAAAGTATGAATATTACAAAGAAAATAATAAGGCAAAATACCAGCTACAAAATTTCCAGGATTCCTTTAAAAGAAAATAAAAAAGCAAGTCTATTAACCTTTTATTATTATATAATTGAAGGATGGAAAAAAGGTTATGGTCAATAGGTGTATGAAAATCAAGACCATATTTCAGATTAATTGGCAGGACTATTTTTTTTTAAGTCCTCTATTTTTTTCCTTCATCTTGGCTCTTGAGCATCAATCAATATTTGGTGGTTGCTTCCAGCAAGTCTTTTGCTTCATTGATTTTGGTTGCTAAGTAAGGAGATCCACCTTAGAAGACAAAGAAAAATGAATGGATTAAAACATACTTCATTATTGACATTTTTAAACATTCTTGATATAGAAAAAAACATTCAATTATAATTCTCATATTTCCCCATTCTTTGATAGATTATTTTATATGCTTAGTAGGAATCAAATAGTGACAAATTAACCTTGGTTAGTGAAGTATTCAGATGTGCAACAATCAAAAACAAACTTCTGAGAAATCAGAGGTATGATCATGTATAATAGGAAAACCACTCAAATATTCACTGGTCAGACATTTACCAATCCTACACCTGACCAGAGAATTTTCTGAACGTAAGTGGATGGTTAGGTAAACAAAAGAAAAAAGTCTTTTCCCATGACTTTTTTTTTCTTAAAAAGCAGTGAATATTCATTACTTTTAAGAAAGAGGTAAATCAATCTAAAGGATATTTTTAAAGTCTTCTCAAGTCTTATCATTCCAGAACAATTAAACACATGTTAAAAAAGGCAACATCCACTGCCTAAAAATCATATTTGTTAATATAGATGAATGAACTAATACTAATAAGTGAGTGATAATAAAAATATTAAAAGAAATTCTCCTTGTTCTCTGCAATGATCCCATTAGAATATCAGAAGTAGTCTTGGATTCACAGTATCTTAAAATAAAATTAAGTCAGCTCTTTTTCAGAGTTCTTTGTTTCTAATGCAAACAGCAAGAGGAAAATTGAGGTGAATTTCAAATGCAGAATCATTATAAATCATGAGCAGTGCCTATTTGACATACAAAAATACTAACCCCAAACTGTCACATTAAAGCTATTTAAACATCATACTCTAACTTCTAGTCCTGAATACTGTCATTGCTTAATGCATGAGCTAACAATCATATTACAGTTCACCAGTCTTTCTGTTTGTTTTTATTTTGTTTTCTCCCCTTAAGTGCAAACCATCTATAGATGTTGAAAATGTTGTAAAGTCTCTGTAGACCTTACAAGAAACCAAATTATATCCAGATAGTGTAGGTAAGTTGTTCTGACTTTATTCAGGCCTTTTATTGATATGATACCACCCACCTTATGAAGGAAAAAGAAAGCAGATCAAAAAACATGGGGCCGCATTAGAAAGAGCAATGCTGGCGGAAGCTATATTTAGCTTTTTGCCCTTGAGGATACCACTGACATTTTCATATTAGGATCTGAATTGCTATAAACACTTATAGAATATAACATACAATGTCCTTGAATATATTAAAAGAATCACAAAGATAGTTCATAACCTACTTGGTTATGAAATAAGTTGACTTCATGATTATCTCTGAAAATGACCTTGCAATAGGTAATTTCAATCTTGGTAAGCTGATTATATTTTTAGAGTTATCAAGGAGATGTCAGGAATCTTATGTATCCTCAAAAAATATTAAAACATTAACTGAACTTAAACATAATCTTTAATTGACTTATATGCATTCTGGATATTTAAATCACTGACCATTATATCCTCATTTAGCAGTTGGAAAAAAAATCAAAGGCACAGAAGATTGAAAGTCTTATTAAACATTATATTTATTGATGGCAGTGTTAGAGACAGTTTATTAAGAATAATGCTGAATTCTCTACCACTCATTCTGTTTAAGATAGAAGGACACAGGTTTTTAATTCATGTGTATGGATTGAATTACACTATTACTGAATCACAACCAGGGTGTCTAGAAATTGAATGTTTAGAAAATATTATAGCCTTTTGATAAAGTAGTGTCTTTTTGTAAAATCTAATAATATAAATCAGTGCTTAGATTATACACACACATTATACACACACACACACACACATATAAAACTTCATTTTCTAGTAAATTCATTTTTATTATGTTTTACAAAAGCTTTCAGTTCCACCAGAGATTGAAGGAAAAAAAAAAAAAGACTTCTAACACAGAGAGTCTAAATAGTTCTGATTTATACTATGTTAACTCATCATTTTGGAATTACGTTAAAAATCAATAACAAACACATCTAGGGAACCCTGATTTTCAAAATTAATTAATATACTTCCAAATAATTAATCTATCAAGGAAGAGATCACAAAAGAAATTAGTTAAGAGAGAATTACTCAAGAGAGAATCAGGAAAGTCAAAAGTTGGTCTCTGATGCCAATTTGAGTTCTTCTTTTCCTATATGTATCCCTTTAATTTCTTTCGTCTATCTAATTGCTCTGGCCAGTGTTTCAAGAACTATGTTAAATAGAAGTGGTGAAAGAGGGCATCCCTGTCTTGTTCCAGTTTTAGAGGGAATGCCTTCAATTTTTCTCCATTTAGAATGATGTTGGCCTGGGGCTTAGCATAGATAGCCTTTATGATGTTGAGATATGTTCCTGCTGGGAATCAACAAAAGTGGTGAAAGATCTATATAATAAAAATTATAGAACCAAAAAGAAAGAAATCAAAGAAGACCTTAGAAGATGGAAAGATCTATCTTACTCTTGGATAGGCAGAATTAATATTACTAAAATGGCCATACTTTCAAAAGTATTATACAGATTTAATGCAATTCCGATCAAAATTCCAATGACATTCCTCATAGAAATAGAAAAAGCACTCATGAAATTCATATGGAAAAACAAGAGAACCAGAGTAGCTAAAGCAATCCTTAGCAGGAAGAGTGAAGCAGGTGGCATCACTATACCAGACCTTAAACTTACACTACAGAGCAATAGTAACAAAAACAGCATGGTATTGGCACCAAAACAGACTAAAGACCAACGGTACAGGATAGAGGACACAGAGACTAACCCACAAAATTACAATTATCTTATATTAGATACAGGTGCCAAAAACATGCATTGGAGAAAAGATAGCTTCTCTTCAACAAATGGTGCTGGGGAAACTGGAAATCCATAATGCAACAAAATGAAATGAAACCCCTATCTTTCACCATGCACAAAACGCAACTCAAAATGGGTCAAGGACTTAGAAGTGAAACCAGAGACCCTGCATCTAATACAAGAAAAAAATAGACCCTAATCTCCATCATGTGGAATTAGGACCCAACTTCCTTAATAAGACTCCTGTGGCACAAAAATTAAAATCAAGAATCAATAAATGGGATGGACTTAAGCTAAAAACAATCTGTGAGGTGAACAGAGAGCCTACATCTTAGGAGCAAATCTTTACCCCTCACATATCAGATAGAGCACTAATCTCTAGGGTATATAAAGAACTCAAAAAACTAGATACCAAAAACACAAATAACCCAATCAATAAATGGGCCAAGGATCTGAAGAGATACTTCTCAGAAGATGATGTACAATCAATCAACAAACACATGAAAAAATGTTCATCATCACTAGCAATTAGAGAAATGCAAATCAAAACCACTCTAAGATTTCATCTCACTCCAGTCAGAAAGGCAGCTATTATGCATACAAACAGTAAGTGTTGGCAAGAATGTGGGGGAAAAGGTACACTCATACACTGCTGGTGGGACTGTAAATTGTTTTGCAGCCATTACAGAAAGCAGCATGGAGATTTCTTGGAAAATTGGGAATGGACCACCATGTGACCCAGCTATCCCTCTCCTCACTCTATACCCAAAGGACTTAAAAATAGCATACTACAGGGACAGAGCCACATCAGTGTTTATAGCCGCACAATTCACAATAGCTCAATTGTGGAACCAACCTAGATGCCCTTCAGTAGATGAATGGATAAAAAATGTTGCATATATACACAATGGTAAATTACTCAGCAATAAAAGAGAATAAAATCATGGCATTTGCAGGTAAATAGATGGAGTTAGAGAAGATAATGTTAAGTGAAGTTAGCCAATCCCCCCCAAAACAAATGCCTAATGCTTTCTTTGATATAAGGAAGCTGATTCATAGTGGAATAGGGAGAGGCAGCAGGGGAGGAATAGACAACTCTAGATAGGGCAGAGGGGTGGGAGGGGAAGGGAGGGGGCATGGGGTAATTAATGATGGTTGAATGTGATGATCATTATTATCCAAAGACAGAAATTTATGTAAATATACTATGTATACAACCAGAGATATAAAAAATAGAGCTCTGTATATGTAATAAGAATTGTAATGCATTCCGCTGTTATATAAATTTTAAAAAAAGTTCATCTCTAAAAACAAACAAAAACCTTTTAACTGAAAAATAAATCACAAGAAAAAGACAACCTATCAAAATAGATACCAGTAGAAATGGAAAATCAAAAACATTGATTCTGCAAAAAAATTGAGAAATTGAATCTGCAATTGAAAATCTTCCCACAAATAAAATCCCAGCCAGAATTATATTGTTGAATTAAAAAAAAAAAAGAAGAAGAAAAGGAAAACAAATTTAAACTTTTTTTTTCCATATGGCTAGCATATCTTTGAAAATAAGAAAGGAAACCACAGATGCATATCACTCATGAGCACAGATGCAAAATCAAAATGTTCACTATCAAATCAGACTAAATATCAATGACCAAGTTAGGTTTATATCAGAAATAAAAGCTTGGCTTTAACATTCAAAAATTAATCAATGTAATTCATCTCATTAATAGATAAAAAGATAAATATCAAATAATCATATCAATAGATGGCAGAAAAACATTTATTTAAATGTTTTATGAAATTCAAAACATAACAAAAATTTTTAATGATCTAAAAATAGAAGGAAACTTCTCTGATGTGATAAAAGTTATCAAAAAATATCACAAACAGCATACTTAGCAGTAAAATGTTGAAAAATTTGGCTCTGAAATTAGCAAGAAAATACCTATCACTGCTTCTATTTAACATTTATTTTAGAGGTTCTAGCCATTGTAGTAAGTATTCCCTTTCCTCCACTCCAAACTATGTCATTTATGAAGAAACTGTTATTCTTCATTGAGAATGTAAAAAATCCAAGACAATTTTAAAAAATTATAAATTGAGTCAAATTCACAAATGAATTTATTAAGCTGCTGATAGTAAAAAGCCAAGATTGCTTTCTTAGCAATAATATACAAACAACTCAATTTATAAAAGCATTA